GAGGTACAGAAATTATTAGCTATTAGTTTGTAGAGACGTGCGAGATCAAGAACTTTCCAAGACCCAAGACTAGACCCCAACAAGACTTGGCCCCAAGACAAAGGCCGAAAAAACCCAAAGAAAAGTTTTGGAATCAAGACCAATAAGACTAGTTTGAAGGAAATACCTGTTTCCTTTAATTAGGTTGATACTAGAAACAGGATTTTGAAGATTGTCGAGATATCTAGAAAAACCTTACTCGATAGCTGAACTCCTTTTGCAGACTTCTAAGCCTAGTAATAATAAAAAAAGGCGAAAAGCTCTCACTTATTCCTCCTTAGAATTTAACTAGGAAAGTAAAATTGAGTGACACAACAGAGTGAATGAGGGGCTCAAGTTGTCAGCTAATTTTAATGTTTCAGTTCTAAAATTCTTTAAAAACATAAAAAATATCTGTAGTTTAAGATTTCTAAGGTGCTCGATATATTTTTATTTAGATTACTCCACAAAAGACTGATAAACAGCAAAAAAGTTTAGTTTTATGTATTAGCAGAGTTTTTGCTTTTGAACGTTGGCAATTGTTAATAACTGCCTTAGAAATGTATAGATTATTAAATGTATGTGCTTTTTTGTTGGATTTAAAATAAAAATTTTAAGAATAAGTTAATGTATCAGGTGGGCGAGTAAATGAGTAAGACTTAACTGATAAATTGAATTTGCATATTCCATCTGTCTAAATTTTTAATTTAACAAAGGGATGAAGAACTTTCATAAATTAAAAAAAATTTTTTTCAGGTTAATTTAGTTGTAGCTCATATACAAAGTGCAATTACTTCAGTCTATAATTTATTAAAATTATATGAACGTGAAGGCATTCTTTCGGTTCGTCCAGGCATTCGATTTCCTCATTCTAAAAATATGCAATGGGATCCTAATGCTGAAACTGAGTTAAAATTTATTTATTAAAAAAAGTGTTAACAAGTTGGGGATGTGGGACATTAAAATAGAGAGGATAGTTTGGAGATGTCTAGGTAATTGGTGTAGCATATGTGTTAACGCTTATTGTTAGGGCATGGAGGTACGTTTTTCATATCTCACCCTCAACCTTTACTCACGAAATTGATCCTTCCTTTCTTATCAATCACAAGAAAATTCTTCCATTGTCAAATCAAATAAGAAGGGAAAGTTAAGGATTTAAACAAGGGGTGTTTATAAGAGAAAGCAGAAGCATTTTATCCAAATGTAGAATAGCTCCTACTTATTTTTACATTACATCCTTTTTGATATTAACCTGAGAGACTAAAAAACATATACATTTAATAATATTTTACTAAACAGATTTAATGGACAAATACTGTTAGCTCATGAATGTTTTTATGAATTTCGTGAAAATACAGAATTTATTGGTTTAATTGATTGGGATGATTTGCTTCTGCCGAGTAAAAATTTCGTTGATTTACCCTCTGTTTTTAAAGAAGCTTTAATTAAATATCCGAATACAGCTTATTTTTTGGTTAATAAATTGGAAGCAAAATTTGAAGAAAAATGTTGGTAATTAATTTTGATTTTTAAACAAAAACTTCAAGAATAAGACTTCCATAAAATGTCTATTTGTATGGCCACCTCCAATTGAATGGCCCTTTAGACGATGGTTAGAAAATAGAAAAGCCGGCCATTCTAAAAGAGATTTTACGGCATGTTGGTGTAAGGATGATACACTTATAGCAGCATTTAAAACGCTTAGGCGGGGGTTAAACGATCTAAAAGGATAGAAGTGAAAGGATTAGTCGGTGCCCCAGCAGCTCATTGGTAGAGCACCTGCATTTGTGTGAGCAAGGCCGAGCGATCACTGCTAGCGTTGTCGCAGGTTCGAATCCTGTCCGAGGCTAAATGCTAAACTCATTCTTTAGTATCTGTTTTGGTAATATATAACTTTAGAGATACTTTTAGAGATACACCCTTGATTTACCTAAATATATTTTTTTTTAAATTTAGTTGGTCACTAGGTAGAAGACTGCCTAAACACTACCCTAAATTTAAGAACAAACTTATTATAATCTTTTAAACCTCAAAGGGTATATTAACAAATAATTGTCTTTAGAATTAAACTTTAACTTAAATTAATTTAAGCCCAAAATCCACGTTTATTTAATCTTCGTAATTTAATGGAGAAGGGTATAATGATGTCACATATTTACAACGACGAAAAAATGGTTGTTAGACCAAAAAAATTGAGAGGATTTTGGATGCATCATTCGCACTTTTTAGAAAAAGGATTTAAACCTCAACAATTATTAACTAATTATTCAATACTTTTACATTTGGCAAATGAAGACAGAGTTAAAGAAAATGAATTTAATTATCCTTTCTTAAAAAATTTTAACATTAGTGAAATGGAAAGACATTCAAATTTTATTCTTTCACAAATGACTAATAAAAATGTAAGAGAAGAAGGGGGGATAGATAATAATAATAATAAAGGGATTGGTTGGATTTTGGAAAAATAATAACGTGAAAGTGACTTTGTCAAGTAAAATTTGTCTAAATAAAATTAGAAAAATATTTAGATAAAAAAATAATTTAAAGCTAGTATCCTAGATCCAAAGGCTATTGTTTTGTCTGTACTTGCAGAATACAGTTGATTGTTCTCCGGTCTTGGCTCATTCCGCAGTTTCCATTCCATCTCCCATCTAATGAATACTTCCACATGATAAACAATAGTAGCTATAGGATCTGGAATGGCTAAAATTTCAGGATTCAATTTGCCAGATCTTAACGTGGTGACATACTAGGAGCCTAACACTTTAAACAAGGCCCACCACCCCCCCCCCCCCCCCCCCCCCAAGCCAGACAGTCTTAATGACTTCTATGTGTTTATAGCTGTCACATTCACATTTCTTAATATCGCTATTTTTTAGCCTTTCTCTTGATCGGTCCCTTCCTTTAATTTCTTCACATCTCCCTTTAAAGATTCTCATTTCCGAAGAACCTGCAAGTCTTGAACTTTTAAATTAAAAACCCTCTCCTTAAAAAATTAAATAAAATTTTCTCTATATTTAACAGTTTAACGGCCTCCCACGAAATTTAACTTATTTCAATTCAATATCAGAATGTCACCGTTTAATCTTTGCTTATTACAAATCAATTAATCCAACACAATCTCATTGTTTATCATATAGTTTATGTGAATTACCCAAAATAAAACAAAGCTGCACAGTTGCGAAAAGTTTTTTTGAAAGGAAAAAAACTAAAAATACTGGAAATTTTGTTTATATTCGAATAAATTCTGAATTTGAAGAAAGGGAAGGATGTGCCTCTGAATATAGAAGAATTTAATCAAAATATGTAATTAATGCAAAAAATTTAAAATTTTTTTTAAATAAAAATATATTAAACATATGTACTGCTAGTGATTATTCATAAATGCTCATTTTTACCGGGTATCGCGGACAGCGACCAGTTCATAAATAATTTAAAGTTTATTTTTGGCTAAAATTTTTTCTATTGAAGTTGCCCGTCTTTTGTCTAATCTCAACTTATTTTTGTTTTTCTGTTTTGAATTTAAAATTATTTCTATTATATTATAAGTAACTAAGTGCAAATGTTTAATTCACTTTTTTATGTACCAGCCGCCATTTATTAATTTTTATTTTTGCCAAATTTTGGGATGTTGTTTACCTTTAACTTTGTCTACCCGCCTATTTTTCTGGCCTATATAATCCCCCTTCCAAAACCCCCATCAGCTTCTGTGCTAACTTCTTTTGGTTTTCTCACTTAGCTTCTGCGGCTCTTGTCTTATTTTTGGCCTTATCATTAATCTATTTGTAAACTTATTTCTTGTTTGGCTTTTATTTGGTGGTCTAAACCCCACCTTCAAACGATAGGAATCAGACGACAGAGTGTTCTTAGTTATTTTGAATATTTTTTACTTTCAGGTATAACTCGTTTCAATTAAAAATTTCGATTTTATACTTTACTAATTTCCATATTTCAACAAGCTTTTTCAATTCAAGATGGTATCGGGGAGTAAATCATATGTAAACAGGTACTTGATCAATGTGATAGAAATCAGTTTATAAATCATATTATTTTAGTTGCAAATGCAATACACGTAAAGAAGCTAATTGTGCACATTATTTGTCAAATTGGTCTGTAAATTCTGTAATTATTGAAAAAGAAACTCATTTTTCTTTAATTTTAGGCTGATTGAAAACGGTAAACTTTCAGCAAATCCATCTGGTGCAACAGCAACCTGCTCTGAGGGACGAGTATTGCGTGCTAAGGATTTTGCGACGGGTGCTGGAAGTAATTCTGTTGGATTTGGGAATATATTCAAAGACGAGATGGGGTTGTCTATGAGCCTTAATCCGCCCACAGGCAATTGTTTCATTTACTGCGAGCGTGGTGGGCAAGGACATGTTTACTATGGAACTAAGTCTAATTGTGTTGCTGGAACGGGGAGCGGTGAATATTTTGGGATGACATACTATCAATATTATACTTAATTTTGCAACTAATTTAAGTTGATCAAGAGAATTATATTTTAAAATTTTTATAATTATATGAACTTTGATTATAATAAAGAATTTCTTTAATAAAGATTTTTAAGCTTTGAAAATTATTTAGACCACATTTCAGTATATATGTAGTTCGTCACCAAATGTCTGTTAATTTTATATAGAATTTTATTATTCCTCATAAAAAAGAATAATTTAGTAAATATTATTTCGCTCGGTATTCCGATTTCCGGCACCTTCGTTATTCCCGACCGACATCTGATATTTACATAATTAAATTATAAAAATATTAGCGCGCCTAAATATGAAACCAAAAAAATAATTAATTTAACAATGTCACAATTTTTGGTATGCAAAATTCCGAAAGAATACTTCACGTATTCATAATTTAACGGACATTAATGTTTTACAGGTGTTTTTTTAAATATTTTTCGGGCTTTAAGTGATTTAAAGGGTCTGAAACGATCCGTTAGCAGGTTAAATTTGTTTAGGAATGAATTTCTCTTTTATTATTCCTCCGCTTTAATCCACATACTCCCCTATACATATTCAAAATTCTTTTTATTATTCAAAATTCTTTTTATACATCTGTTTAGAGCGATTTATTCCCACTTTGTTTATTACCAACCGCTATTAATTTATATTTTTGCTCACTTTTGGAACATTTTTTATCTTTTCTCACTTTGTTTATGTTTAACTCTTGGTCCTAATTATGCTGGAAATCTTTGGCCTGAGGCGATCTAGTTAGTTTTTGGTTCTTTTCTTTTCAATCCTACATGAATATATTTTGCTATTTTCTGTGTATATTTGAGCCAGTCCTAATTATAACGTTCATAGTGAGATTTCCATTTCATTGTTTTTTCCATCCAATTCAGTTTCTGGTGGAGTCTAACATTTCTGCATCAGTTAGTAATGGAGTTTGACGTCCTTTGCCATTGCTTTTCTCTACTTTGCTATGTTATTCGGCTTTTGTTAAAATCTTTCTCAAAGTGCTTGATGAAGTACTTGTTCAAAGTATGCGGCTTTTGTTAAAGGCGTTCTTTTAGATGGATAATGAATCAGGTTTAATAATGAATTGTAGATTCCTGAAAGCGAAATATTGCTTCCTATTGAAATAAGAAGCAATATTTACTCTTTAATTAATGTTTTGTTCCTTGTTTTACTAAACAGCTAGGGTGCATTTTTTAAATTTCGATTATATACTCAAAAAGTTAACAGACTACAGAGTTTTCTTTATTACATATTTTTACTTTAAACTTCAGAATATTCTCGTCCCGTCCAAACTACCACAAATCATAATGAGTGAAAAGGAGATACCGTATGTAAACAGGTACTTGATTAGGGGGAAACAAATTATAAATTACATTATTTCAGTTGTAAATGCAATTCTCCTAAAGACAATAATTGTGCCCATTATTTGTCAAATTGGTGTGTAAATTATTACTTGACTAATGGAGGAATATTTTGAATTATTTAAAAATTCAATTTTCCTTTAATTATAGGCTGATTGAGAATGGTAAACTTTCAGAAAATCCAGTTGGTGCAACAGCAACCTGCTCTGAAGGACGAGTATTGCGTGCCAAGGATTTAGCGACGGGATTTGGAAAAAATGCCGTTGGATTTGGGAATATATTCAAATACGAGATGGGGCTGTTAATGAGTCATAATCCGCCCAAAGGCGATTGTTTCGTTTACTGTGAGCGTGGTGGTCGAGGACATGTTTACTATGGAACTAAAGATAGTTGTGTTGCTGGAACGGGGAGCGGGAAGGATTTTGGGGCGCAATACTATCAATATTATACTTAATTTACAACTACTAATTTAAGTTGATCAAAAGAATTGTATTTTTAAATTTATAAATGAATTTAGATTCTAATAAAAAAATTTCATTAATTTTAACATTCTTAACAATTGTTCTTTATTTATGGAATGTTTTGTTATACATAGTATTACATAACAATAAGATAGTAAAAATTAAAATAAAGAGGCTCGGGTTATTTTCGAAGGCCTATACTTTTTCCCTCAACATGGAAAGTTGTTCCAACAAGGAGAAAGGATGTTCCATAAAGAAACCGCTTCCTCTTGGTTCTGCTCTTAGTTTCTGCACTAAGTTGGGGCACTCTTCTGTCCCGTTCCACTTTTTTATGGGGGAAAAGATCGATTCAGAGTCGCCAATTCAGAGTCCGCCTATTCAGAGTGCGATTTTTCTCAAAAAAATTTTTGTGGTTTTTCTCAGTTCCTACGATGTTAATTTATGGGATTTCTATTACCAGAATATCAGTTCTGGTTCATCCTTATACACTAACTGAGAAGAACAAACGATTAAAAAAGCTAGAATTAAAAAAAATTGAAGACATGGTGAGACTCAAATGTTCAAAAACCTAAAGGTTTAGGCTTCAAAAGGTTTAGACTAAAAGTAACCAGGTAACGAAAGAGTCTTAAAATATGGCATCAAAACGAAAGTTTTTGGGATATAACTTTTTTGTTTTTAAATCAATCCAAATAATTTTTGTTTTAATTAAAAGCTCTGGATGTGCTGGTTATTTTTTCATAGAAATTGTTAAGTTTTACCGTCTTTCAAAAAAAGTTAGGAGCCGTTAACTGCGAATAATCGTGATTTAACATACTTAGGCGGGTGTAACTTTCTAAGAAATGATCGGACCCTTTCATAAAGTTAATAAAAAGAATAAAAACAAATATAGATTCGAATTGATAAAGAAAATTTCTGGAAATGATCGAAATAAAAAAAGTTATGGCACAGAAAAAGGCGTTTCGATGCTAAGTCTCCGAGACTCTATTGACAAGCAAGCCTAAAGGTTTAGGTTTGTGCTGAGACTGAAAATAAATGTAAAGACAAAAGAGTCTTGCTGACTTTTTGACATAATTCAAGTTAATTAATTGTTTTCATCTGTTTCTTTACAGATTATTTATGCCATTACAACAACATTTCATTATTTTACTAAACAAAACCGAAAAATTAAAGAAAATTTTAAAAATTTTAGATTTTTATTAAAAATTATTTTGTGGCATTGAATAATTGCCTTTGGTTGTGTAAATTATTGTTTATCTCTCTAAAACAATAAAAGGAAACAAAAAAAGAATAAAAACAAAAATAAAACAATTGCATTCCAAAAATCTCGATTTTAAGGATATTTTATTCCTCGTACTCTGAGTCGGCGGCTCTGAATCGGCGGCTCTGAATCGTCCCCTACCCTTTTTATGGCGATTTTTATTTTTGACAAGACGATTTTGGAATTTTTTTTTTTATTTTTTTGTTTAATTTTTTTTTAGATTTTTATCTCATAAAAATGCAAAAATCAAAAAATCATTTTTCTAATTAAATGTCCAAAATTTGTGAAAGGCCTTTCTCCAATTCTCACCGTCCAATGCCTAGAACTTTTCGACACCAACCACAAATAAAAAGTAATCGAAGTGTTATTGGAGGGGGAGGAAATGTTGACAGACAATTTTTGCTTCCACATTTTTCTGCAGCAATGGCTGAGGTTTTTTTTCAAATTTTCTTTTAATTTTTCAATAAAAGTGCAGAACATTGGTTTTAAAAAATAAAGGCGGAAAATTCCTTTCTTTTTTATTTAGTTTCACATACATTGAAACTGAATCTGATATTAGATTTTTAGAAGATTTTTCCGCTTTTATTTTTAACAACCAATGTTCTGCACATTTGACATTTTCTTTTTTAGGGTGTTCCAAATCCAATAGATGAACGTTGGGTGGATGAAAATACAACGGTTTGGAATTTTTAATTTTTTCTTGCTAACACAAGGTCTTACAAAATAAAGGGGAATTTTAAGTTTTAGATTTTGTGTATAAGTTTGTCAAAACTCCCCCAATTTATTGACCGAATTTGGATTTCAACTTGCGTTTCGGGGAAATCTAACGCAAGATTTTCCGAACCAAGATTTCCTTTTGCTAATTGAACGTATTCTTTTAATTAAAGAAACTTTTCTCAAAAATATCTGTTTGAGGTCCATTTCGTTCTGGCCCAACCATTTTGTTCAAGGCCCAACCCATTTTCTGTCTATAAATTATCCATTAAATTGCCCCTCTTTCATCAATATTTTTTTTAATTTTAAGGTCGTAACTGGTGCTACCAGTGAACATTCCTTTAATGACAATATAGAATCTCAACCACACTTTCCTCCTCCAGCAGGAAATTCAATAATTCGATTAGTTTGGCGACGTTTTTCTTGGATTTGTTGGTTATTCTCTACTTTTTCGATTTCATTTATGGCATTAATTTCTGCCCCTTTAATGATTGCTTTGCCTTTTGCTGTTGAACGAATTGGTTTAGTTGAAGAAATTATTCATTTAAATAATATTGGGTGTGAAATTGAGTGTCAGGTTATTTTTTTGAATTTTTAAAAAACTTTATTTTATTCTTTCAGGGTCAACTACTTAATTTGAGTGGAAAGACGGTATTTTTTTACTAAATAAAACTTAGGGGTGTCGTGATATATTGATTTGATTTTCTAATTTTTCTGCTATAAATCGAGGATATTCTAATTTAATGTTTAGGCCCATTTTTATCCAGAATAATGATTATTCGAGTTCGATTCTAGGGGTAGATCATCATTAGTGAAACAGTAAAGAGAAATTTGGATTAATATTTAAATTTCTTCCTTGACTTCCTCACAAAATTTTAAAGAATTTTAAAAACATTCCCTCAGATTTCGAACACATTTCTTCTAATCTAAAAATAATTTTCTCAGGTTCTTTTGTTTCTGGCCCTTTATGTTCTCTTTTGGCGTCGTTCTACTGCAGATTTGCCTCGTTTACATTTACACAGAGCTGCTTTTGCTCTTTTTGTATTTTTTGTACTTTTTGCATTTTGGTTATTTTATACTGCTCGGATTCTTTTGGAAAGGTTTTTTAAAAATAATTTAATTATTTTTATTTTTTTTAAAGAAATATTCAATTAATCTACTTAATTTCTTTTGCAATCTCTTTACTCGACATTCTTTTATTTATTCATTGCATTTGGATTTTCTTTGAGCTTCGACAAATTCGACCTGTTTATTGTATTCATTTTGTTCGAGATCCGGTTTATTTTTTATTCTTATAGAAAGGGGCAGATAAAGGAAACCAAAATGGTCCAATTTTAACGAGTCAGAATTTCCAAGAGTCCATATCTGAAATTTATTCCTAATACGCATTCTTTTAATTATTAAGGCCTTCCTGAGGCCCTCCAAAATTCTATTTTCTCCTGCGGCGCTAAAATCAAAATTTTTGGCCTCTGCCCCTGCCGAAAAAATTTTAGTTACGGGTCTGCTATAGATCGCATAAGATTTTTGATCTAAAAAACTTATATTGTCGGCTTCAAAATTAATTCTAAATTTAACTTTAAGGACGGTGAATGGCATTCTCATGAGATTGGCCAAATGTGTATTCAAGAAGCGGCTGTCCAAGTTCTTTTACTTTACCGAGTTCACTTTCCAGTCTACAATTCTGTTTTGGAACATACTCGGCGTTCAAATACTTTTGGTGGTCGTTTTCGTTCAGCTATGGGTAGACCAGGATTTAAACTTTATGATATTGATGGACAAGGAGACCAAACAACGGCACTTTCTGAAATGAATGCAAGAATTTTAATGCAGGTTGGTATAAATCAGAAGAAATTTTTTAATCTAATTTGTGAACCTACAGTTCGGGAAAACCCTAGGAACACAGAAACTGTGTGTCTGACGGCAGTCAACTAAGTCTTTGTTCGATTTATAAACCTCTATATTCCTAAACATAAGAGATGCCTTTCCAAGTTTCAAATGACCTGTGACCCCTATATAAATATTTATTTTTAAATCAATTTATTTGAAGGCTGCCTCCCAACGTCGTATGGCTGCTCATAATGAATTATTTCATGAAGAATGTGATTGGGAAAGACGTTTCAAAAAGAGAAAATGTCGTTTAATTAGTTGTACCGAGGAAATTTTTGCCCAAGTTCAATCTTCTGAATTTGAAAATGACATGAAAATAGGGACAGCTGGAAATCAAATTGTAAAAGAAGTTTTGTGGAATAAATTTAGAAAATATTTTTTAGGTAGAACCAATGGATCCACAAGTAGCTGCAAAAGCTGTCCTCTCCTCTATAGCAAAACAATTGAATCGATTTTTGCGTTATACGCGCCAGGAACGTTTTCACACACAATCTTCAGGTTTTTTTTTTGTTTTTTTTGTTTTTTTGAGAAAATAAATTTAATATTTTTAGTGTTTGCCCACGTACAACGTTGTTTGGCTTTTGGTTTCTCGGCTCGTACATTTCTTCAACGATTTTTCTCTAATGCTATGCCTTTCCAGGTAAATTTTTAAACCAAATTTGGATTATTAATTGGAAGTTAATAGTAAATTGTTTAAGTTTGGGAAATAAAATGGGAACTTTTAGGGGGTTTACAGGATTGGAAAAATGGGAATTTTAAGAATAAGAATTTGCTTTGAAAATTTAGAATCCTTTCCTAGCATTATAATGTATTTCAACACACACTACTAAATTATCCCGAGAAGCGTTTAGATCATCTTGAGATCATTTTTGAGTTTTGTCGGATTACCTGGGTTTGATCTATAATTTTTAAAACCGTTTAAACAATCAGTTATGCATATACTATTTTTCTGACTTTCCTGGTGTTTTTCCCATCATTTTTCGCATCTGGTTTAAATTTATTTTCAAAAAAGATTTAATTAACCTTTTTCTAAACTTAAAAAATTTATTTTTTCAATTAAAGGAAGACTTACCAGAATCAAAATGGTCATTAATTTGTGGAAATAATATTAGAGCTTCAAATTCTATCCATCATGGTTTAACTTTTGTTTTGCGTTGTCACAATGATGACAGTTTTGATAGAGGAGTACAATTATTATGTTCAGTTTCTGCCCTTCCTTTTGTTAATTTAACAGAACAATCATCTCCTTTAAATTCTTTTCGTTTAAAAATTGTTACAGGAAATCCATCAGCTGTTGAATTGGGGGTTTAAAAAAGTTTTTTTGCTTTAAAAATTGTAGAAGAATCTCTTTTAAATTATAAGTAATTCTCAATTTTAATTTAGGAATACCTAATTTATTTTTTAAATTAAAGGTGGAGATTTAAATTAAAATATTTTTCCCAAATGGTAGCCCTATATATTGAACTAGGCTTGGTAATGGATACGGATACAAATAAGTTAAAAATGCCTGCGGATATTCGTCTGTATTCGCCATAAATATCCTGATACGGATACCAAAATCCATGTCCGTTACCAAGTCTGTACTTGGACAATTCATATTTTAAAAGATCAAAAATATAATAAAGGGTATGAGAATTTTTAGAAAATTTTTTATTTTAATTTCTCTCCACCTTTTTATTTATTTTCTTTAATTTATCTAAAAAACCCCAATTTTTGCTTAAAAATAATTTAAATATTTTTGCAATAAAAATACCAACTCAAATAAAGTTCAACTTTATCATTAATTTTTCTTAAACTTTATTTTCTTTATTCAAGTCATTCTCACTATTTTAAGAGTAATTCTCTCATTTTTGTCTTCACTTTTTAAAAATATTTTCCTGCCTTTTTGTAATTTATTCCAAAGCTTATTTTCAAATAAATTATTTTACAAAAAAATTTATTTATGCTTTTAATCAAAATCACAAAATGTGTGAAAATATTGCGAGATTTTAAAAAATTTTTACTCAGGCACGAACAAAATAATAATGGCAATTTTAAAAGGGTTATTTAATTAGTTTTTAAAATTGGGGGAAGATTTTTTGATAAAAAAAATATTTGATCATGACGAGTCATAAGTAGTCCGATCTCTAGTCTTAAGCTTTAAAAAAAGTTTTTATTGGGATCGAGAAATTTTGAAAACCAAAAACTAATTAAATATTTAATGAATGCACGAATATTTAATAATGCGCACTTTAAGTAAATTTTGCGAAAGTGAAAAGATTAAATGAAAATTGGCAGGGAATATTAAATAACAGTAAATACTCTTCTAAATTATCAATACACCCTTTAACTGATTTGGATTGTCTAAATAGGATATAAGGCTTGAGAAATATTTTTTAGAGATAAAGGGATCTTTGCGGACTTTTATCTTTCGTCCACAAGTTTCGGTTTGTCTTCTAAAATATTAGAATTAAATAATTTTCCTTAAAAGTGTATTGATGAAATATATTTCTTAGAAAATAATGGATACAATAATTCGGATAGAGAATCCCTGTGACCGATGGATGGAAAATGATAGATTCATTGTGGATGTTAATTTGACATAAACTTAAGAATTCTTTTACCAACCGAGATTTTTTAAACTTTGAAGGGTTTAACTATCAATTTTTTAAGTTTATGTCGAAAAAAAATCCTCAGAAGAATTGCTCAATCTACCTATATTAAAATAAAATGCAATCGAAACTCATTAAAAAATACATCCAAAGATACATCGGGGACGAATCTAAGGTACCAAAATGATTTTCAGCCCCCAGAACGTATTTAAAAATGAGTCGACTGCAATTAATTCCCAAAAATGAATATTAAAATTCTGGAATGAAAAAAGTGTAGAAAGTTCGGCAAGAATCAAAATTAAAAAGGAAAAATTGAATTTCAGGAATAAATTTTTGCGGATTTTATAAAAATTAATTAATATTTCCTCCACATTCATCACTACAACTCGAACTACTAGCTATTCTTTGTGTTCCTCCCCCTCCCATTTTAGCCCTTCTATTATCATTATTAATTCCTCTTTGTCTACCTTCCCGACTGTTAAGCGGCAAAAGTTGTAATTCAATAGCCATTTGTTCTGTTATTCCTCTAAGCATATTATGTCTTCGTTTAATTCCTTCTGATGAGCTCATTCCGTTTTGTAAATGGGTCTTTTTATGCCGTAATAAATTGTCTTTTCGGTTGAAACTAAAAATTGAAAATTTTTGAAGATTTTTGGATCGAAGACAAATTTAAGTAATTTACCGTATTTTCTCTAATTGAGCGGCCGTCTCCAGTTGAAAGGCCGTCTCCATTAGCGGGACCCGTTGAGAGGGGATTGAAAAATTGAGCGGCCAGCCGACCAATTAGAGAGAATACGGTATTCAGACTCCCCCCAATTTTTCTTAAAAAAAACTTACGGTTTCTTACAAAATTGGCAAATGTGTGGTTTCAATCCAGATTGAATAAAATGATGTTTTTTAAGTAAAAATTTATTTGCAAATCGTTTTTGACAATTTTTCCATGAACAAAAGAATGGCTTTTCTAAATTAATTAATATTTTAATTGGTTAATATTCTTCTTTTTTCCCTTTCCCTTTATTTCAGGATTCTTTTTTCCTCTTGAGATTCCCTTTCCGGAAAGAGAAGTGTCTGAATAACTATACAACCGATAGACCGGAAGTTCCGGGATTCTTTTGGCTGTAGTGTAGTGTACCGGTGGTAAAAGTTCGAGACGTAACATATGTCATTCGATTCATCTCGACGAGCTGAGTCGAACGGTACCACTCCCTATTTTAGGAAATAATTCTGGACCGAGTTATAGGTCCCAGAAAATTGAAAAACCAAAGGGGGGAGTAAGGTCGATTTTGGGGTAAAAAATTCGAATATGCAAATAATAGCTCATTCGAAAGAGCTCCTCGAGCTGAGTCGAATGACACCAAAATCAACAAAATCCGACTTGATTTGACAAAGTTATGATCGCTTGTTTTAGCTCCTTACCTATGGTCTCCATGGAGGGTTTTGCTGCTACGGAGGCTCCAGGTATGCCCAGAGCAAGGGAGATAGGAATAGGTTTATGTTACGAGCCCAGACCCACCGCCCGTAGACTCCCCGCGAGGCGCGTGCCGCAAACCCCCGCGCGAAGCGCGGGGGTTTGCACAAGCGCCTCGCCGACTCTCCATAGGTTTATGTTGCTTGTTTTTTGTGTCGTAACTTTGTCTAATCTTGTTCGATCCCGGTGATTATGGTGTCATTCGACTCAACTCGTCGAGCTCTTTCGAATGAGTTATTATTTGTATAAAAAAATTTTATTCCAAAAATCGCCCCTTTGGATCTTCGATATTTAGGGGCCTATATCTCGGTCCAATCAAGTCGGATTTTGTTGATTTTGGTGTCATTCGACTCAGCTCGAGGAGCTCTTTCGAATGAGCTATTATTTGCATATTCGAATTTTTCACCCCAAAATCTAGCTTACTCCCCCCTATGGTTTTTCAATTTTCCGGGACCTATAACTCGGTCCAGAATTATTTCCTAAAATAGGGAGTGGTGCCTTTCGACTCAGCTCGTCGAGACGAATCGACTGACATATGTCACGTCCCGAACTTTTACCACCGGTACACTACACTATATCCATTCTTTTTTCAATTTCAGTTCCAGCTAAATTTTCATTTCCCCTTTCCCTCCCCTCCCCTTTAATCACCTCCATTTTCAAATTCAGTTGTTGTTTCATTACTGTCATGATCTGACAAAACATCACAATCATCTGATTTAGCTGGACTTCCAGTAATTGTTGGAGAAACAATTCCCCCCTCTCTGTCAACTTCATTAAAATCTTCTTCCATAAATCCATTTAAATCTCTCAAGTTTGCCCCTTCTTCTGTCATTATTAGTTGCCTTTTTGTTTCACGTCCCATTTTTTCTTCTTCTATCATCATTTCTTCTTCATTTTCTGGCAATTTATTCACTTCTGATTTTTCACTAAAAATATTTAAATTTATTTTATCAGTTTAAAAACTTGTGCTTTTTAAGCTGTGCGCCAAAATTTTATTTCAACTGTTTAGAACGCAAAAACTTAAAGTTGGTGTTTTTACGCCTTATAGAACTTTTTGGCGCACAGAAAAACTTAAAGATTTTTCTTTTTATTTTCTTTTTTCCCTCTTTTTACACATTATTTTTGCCCTAAAAAGACGTATGATTTTTTTGATCATCCCCTCATTCCCCAAATAAATCTATATTTTTTCTTAATTTTTACCAACCACTTCCCTCATTTCTTTCCTCTTTTTTTAATTTTTTCCTTATCAACACAAATATTTATTCTCTCCTTTCCCTCCAATCTTTCCTCTCCACGTCGTCGACATTTCTTCATTATCTCCCCTCAATCCATCATTTAATATTAACCAAACCCGGCGGCGTAAAAGCTTTATTAAGGCAGCCAAAAAAGGAAGGGGGGAAGGAAGGGAAGGTTTTTGTGTGTGATCATTCCTTTATTTTTTTCCTCTTTTCCTCCTCTTAATAAACGGAATCCGCCATTTAAAGGGGTTGTTGGAGGAAAGGAAGGAGAGTTTTGTCTCTCTCGCGCGCTCACCCAAACACACACACGTTCTTCACTCCCGTTATTCCCCCCATCCTTCCTTCCCTTCTTCACTCCACACCTTAAAAGCTTTTTTATAATTTTTATTCCCTCCTTCCCTGGCGGTTTTGTTTTAATAAATAAATAAATTTATTAAAAAGGTCGTCTAAAAGAGGAGGCACCGCCAAAGTAAAAAGGCTCTGAAGTTTGTAGAGGAGGAAAATATTTTTGTCGGTTGGAGGAAAATATGGTAGTTGATTGAAGATAACGAAAGAATGGAAGAGGAAGGAAGGGGAAGGGAGGAAGAGAGCTTCCTATTGCGGCAGAATAAAAAAAAAAGCACTTCCCCGGCTGACCTTCGAGAGTGCCGTTTTCTTTCTTTTTTTTTTATTATTGCGGGATTGAGGTCAGCCGCCGTCACTCTCTTTTATTTTAAACTCTCTTCTCATTTTAGTGATTGAGCACACATTAATTTGCTCCGTTGCTGCCGCAATTGGGCGCATTGATATAATAAGGAGAGGAAGGGAGGAGGAGAGGAATAAACGAAAAAATGTGAAGAGGAGGAAAAAGGTGATGGAGTGATGGGAATGCTCATTTTGAGTGGAATGTGTGAATAAATAATGATTTTGGGGTGATTGGAAAAGGAAGTAATTTAGATAGATAAATAATTTGGATGTCTTTAATTAATAAAATTATTAAAAAAAAATTCGTTAAAAAATCAGAAAAGCTGAAAGGGGTAGAGATAAACTAACGATTGGTTGTTCTTTTATAAATTAACCAAATGAGAATCTAAAAATGCGAAATTTCGTATAGATATCCTCAATACTGTTACCTAAAGAATCTAAAAATCTCAGAATTTCCGATTTATTTTATCCAAAGTTTTGGTCGAAATATGGCTAAAATTAACGTCTTTAGGACCTTTCTGGCTATAACTTCTACTAGGAAATTCAACCAAAAATTCTGAAAGTTATAGAACAATTAGAAGATTATCAAGCATAAATGTACAAAATTTCACATCTCTATTTTCTCATTCAAACAAATTAGAAAAATTTAAGGTAACGCCACCTCCCAGATAATTTTGAAAAATAAATTAGGCAGCCCCCTCTATTGTAGATATACTCAATACCACATATACTTCTATTTAAGATACGTCTTTAAATTTGTTTGGCCAATGGGTGGATGGGTCTTATAAGCAAATATCCCCTACTTAGAATACACCTCATTATAATATATGTACATTGTTTCACAGCCCCAAGGGTGATGAATCCACCGTCTGTATTTAATTTCTCTCTCACCTTAAAATAAAATTTTCTTCCTCTTTAGGTTGAATTAAAGAAAAAGAAGAAGATTTTGTTGTTTCATTTCTGTTAATTGAAAAAGCAGAATTTTCTTGTCTTAAAAATTTTAAACAATTTTGTTGTTGTTCATTATTTTGTTGAAATATTCTTTGTTGATTACTTAAAGAAGCTAATTGTCCAAGCATTTGAATTTGCATTAAAGCTAATGCTGGATGTATTACTGTTGGTGGTTGAGGAGTAGGGGGAGTAGGAGGGACAACAATTGCCGTAGTTACTGGAGAAATTGATGATGTTGTTGCTGGAAAATGAAGAGAATATTTTTTTGTAAATTAAAGAAATTTTTGAGGGGAGACAAACGGAAGGTGAGATAACTCATCTCTTGGTTGTCCCGACACTACAAATATTGCTAAAAGGGATTCCTTGTTTGATTTTATCAAATTAAAATATACCGTAGCAAATAAAACGAAGATTTTTTAGTACTTGGACAAAAATATAGTGAGGTTTGGGAGTGATTTTCCGTGATATAATGGAAATGGATAAATAATCGGATATCCAGGATTTAGCGGATATCCAGGATTAATCGGATATCCAGGACCCAGCGATAATCGGGATATCCAGGATTTAAGGTATTAATTCTGCAAAATGCGTCGCTCCGACCTTTTGAGAAAAATCCGGAATTCGCAATTTCTCCACGATCAAGACAGAATATCCCAAATTTTTTTTAAATAATTTTAAAAATTCCTTCCTCCTTCTTACCTTCCCCTAAATTCCCTCCTCCTCCATTATTTTTTTCGAAAATTAATTTCTTTTTTTGATTCTCGACAATATCAGCAACGGCAACATCTTTATTTTTTGAAAGTTTTTGTAAAACTTGTTCAATTCTTAATCCTTTTGTTGGCGTAGAAGGGGAATTTGTTAATGAAGGTAAGAATAAACGTTGTTGTTGGTCTTGTATTGGAGTAAATTGTTGGAAAGAAGGGTTTGTTGTTTCTGAAGGAGAGGATGTTGTTGATGTAGTTGTTATTGAAGCTATTGAATGTGTTGATGGGGACATGTTGTTTGTTGTTGAATGTTGAAATGAACAACTGAAAAAATATAAATAATTTTTGAATTTAATAATAAATTTGAAAAAATTGTGAGCAAATTTTCTGTCAAAAATTTATTTTTTAATAAATGTTGAAATAAAAAGAGAATTTTATTTTAATTAATTTTCACATGGAGGAAGCCTAAACATTAAAACAAGAGGTGGGCCGGAACAGTCAGAGGTGTCGGAAATCGGAAGAGCCGGAAATCGTAACTGGCTCAAAAGTCGGAACTCGGAAATCGGAAATCAAAAATTTTTTTCTGAAATCGGAATTCCGATCCATAATTAACTGATCCTTGGAGGGGAGGGGAGGGGGGGGGGTTATAGAAAAATCTTCGGATATCCGGAACACTCCTATGTAGGTTCGGTTATAACCTGAAAGCCATACTTAGGCGAGGTTTTTTCAAAGGATAATCAAAATCGAGAAATCTTTTTCAAAACTATTAACAATTAACTGTCTCATTTTCTTTAATTAAAAGAATTAAATTAATTGCCGTCTAAAAACTCGGTAAAAAATTAGAATGTTTTCCAACATTTGTTTATATTTTTGTGAATAAACAAAAACTTAAATGAAAAAATCTAATTTTTT